CCCCAAAACCCCAAAACCCCAAAACCCCTCAAGATGAAATAGTGGAGATTAAATTGTTTTTAAAATAGTAATTTTAGGTTAATAATAAGTAAGAACAGGGTCATCAAGCGCTTGCAAGTTGAGCTGTCTTTGGGATTTGTAGTCTTTCCCTCTATTTGGGGTTTTTGATAAGGTCTGTCCTCAGACAAGATGAACAGACCTTATTTATCATCTCCGGAGACCGGAGTAACTCCAGAAGTATGAAGAATAACTCTTCCTCTCTAAAATGAAAAGGATTAATATTGTGTTAAAACTTACTGCTCAAGATTTTGTTGTAATCTCTGCATGTAAATACATCTAACGAGGTTTCTGATTGGATCAGGGTCTGGAATTTCAGTGATAAAGATTCTGTCTGCGTTGAAGACCACAATTTTACGAAGAGTCTAACCAACAATAACTGCGACTCCCAAATAGAATCCCATGATGGATGTAGCATCGAAGAAGTTAGAAGATATCAAATCTGAGAATGTAATGAATAGAAGTCCTTGAAGGTTGACATTAAATGCCCAGTAATTTTGGCATGAGAATGAAAGAGTGACATTTTCTCTCTAGAGATTCAGGTCAATAACTTCCTTCTTTTCTCCGAGTCTTAGTTACTATTAAAAAGTTATCCTAAAATTATAATCTTACGTAAGGTATAAAGTCATCAATATAGACATTCTTGATATCATCTGGGTTTGCTTTACAATCGATTAGCATTGCTTAATGTAATTGCTTGATTACTTCCCTATCACCTATTTTCTTCAAGTCGATAACTCTTTCTTGCTTTCCAGCTGCAACAGGAGCTTCTGCTGGACCCTATAATGAAATATTTAATATTCAAGAGTATAAATACTGGTCTAGTGAAACTGAATGAAAATTCAAGAGTAGTAATTAAATGATCTGATCCATGAGCTGATTATGCGATAAGATCTTTAAATAGACTTCTGTAGTCACCTGAGACTGGCCATTCAGTATCCGAAGAATTTTTCATAACAATCTTTTGGACTTGACTTGGTTCAAAGAATTTTGTTTCTGGTAATCTTGCATAATCAAGACTGTAGAATTCCTTCTCTCCCATTTCATGTAGACTTAGTGGGTTGTCAGTTTAGAAAATAGGGAATTCATAGGTTTCCTACTTTAATCTGTCTTCAATCTTTATTTGGAAATCAACAAAGGCATCTTTAACCATGTTAGTATCAGCGATGTAGCTGAGATTACTGAACATAAGGAATGGTCCAACTAAGAAGAACAAGATAACGCCTAGACAGAAGCAACCACAAAGACATTTTTCAAACCTGACAATCCTTGATCCTAGCTTTCTCTCGTAATATCCTTTATTTCCGTTCTTGAAGAAGTAGAGCTCTGAATCAATTTCAGCAAGTTCAAGCCATTGGAAAATATCTAATGAGGTCTTTTAGAAGCACCAATCAAGAATGATTTTAAGTTCAAAAATGAAGGGTAAGTTGTAGAACACTCTATAAGCAAGAACTGGTCCAAGACCATTAGTAGATGTCAAAGAACTGGGCTCTTTGTAATCAGGATAACCATATCTAATTTAGAGAGCTGAAAGCATAAAGTAATAGCAGAAGATGCAATAAAAGATAATCAAGTACCAATTTTACTTGAAGCTTAAACATCCGTACTTTTCATATAAATTCGATAATTTATCACAATATGGAGTACCGTAAATAGCATCATTACTTGATAATGGGAAGATCCAAAATACAAGAGCATGATAAAGAATAAGCAATACCCATTGGATAACCCATTTAGAAACTTGTTAATTAGTCATTCTAGTATTTTGTAACTTTATCTCAATAGGTTTAACAGTATGTGATTCATCTCCTGTATTGAACAGTAGAGTATCACTAGTTTTGTGAGATTAGATTCTAATAGAGGTAGATCTAGAATTTACACCTTCAACAAGTGTAGGCTTTGATCCTACAACACTAGATTTTTAGGTTACTTATGTTTCTTTTTCTCTCCTATCTATCTTTCTTGCCTTTTCAATATTGACTCTTGTATTTGTTCTACTGATATATCTCTCCAAAATCATTACAAAAACTTGAATGAAGAGCATGATAACCATGTAAATTGAGAATTAGCTTGAGTTTTCAAGGTTTTAAGTTCCTCTAGCATCCAATTTAGTGTAATAAGAGATAAGATAGATACAAATAACGAATTGGACGAAGGTAATCTTTCCGTAGAAATCAATACCTGGCTTTTACTCTTTGATCTTAGGGAATAGTCTTTTAAAGTAGTTCTTTTTACCAAAGTAGTTTCTAACCAAACCTTAATTTTCAGGTCTCTTCTTAACAAGTTCTTTAACATGCTTTCTAAGTTCTTCTGGGTCATCAATCATAGTTTCTTTTCTTTCTAGATTTTTGTTATTCAATATATCCTAATCCATATCATCAAAAAGCTCTTTTCTCATCCTTTAAGCACTGCTATTATCAAGACTAAGATCAGATTTTGCCTTCAATTCTATGGGAAGAGTAGATTGCAGACCTTTTGAGTTTTGTTCTTCAAGTTCTTTAAATGCTTTCTTTAATGATTTCTTTATCTCCTAAAATTCATGGGCTTAGATCTCCTTTTCAGTAATCTTGCTCTCTTCTTAATCTTGCTCATCAAGCTGTTTCTTTTTATCCTCTTTTTTTAGAGAGGTGTTCACAACCCTATCATCTAGTGAATATTACTTGTAATATCTTTCTCTAGCATCATAAATATTCTCAATCTCAGTTTCTTTCGAGTCATATAGACCAAGAAGGATTTCATAATAATTTTGTCCCATTATAGCAGTAAGAATTATAATTTCTGGTAGCACATATAAGAAGAAGTGCCATATACCATCTTCTCTCCAGAGACCAAATAGTAGCCAATTCTAATAAATATATTTTAGATGATAAAGTATAACTTACAGAAACAGCAATGTATGAATTTACCAACTCTTTGTTATCATATAAGAAGTCAAGATTGATGATAAATTTCATAAAAAGGATAAAAAGTACATATTTCTTGATAATAGCCCAGAAGTATTTACCTGGTCTACCCTCCTCCATTAAAGCATAACCGAATACAGCAAAAGGTAAAAAGATAGAAATAAGTCCTGCATTAAGAATCTAACTGAGAATCATAAAAATGTAGGCTATTGTGGCCATTTTACTGAAAATGGCTTCTAGACAAGCACCAATCAAAGACAGCAAAATGTTTGAACATCTTAGGAATGAAATAGTTTCAGGCATTTATTTGAAATCAATTTAATCTTCATCCTTAATTCCGAGTCTCTTTCTGGTCTTTTAAGTCATTTTTTTGCTTGTTAATTTTTAATTCAGTTAGTTATCTCCTAAATCATCATGTTCAATATCAAGTATTCTCTTTTCTTCCTGTAGCTACTTTATTTTTTCTTAATCAGCCTTACTCTTGGTCTATTTGAATGAAAATAAGGTCTCCTTAAGGGTGGCATCAATTTTTCTTTTCGAATTTTCTAAGAATCTTTGTAGTTTTTCATTTAAAATGATTTCATTCTCATCATTAATTTGATTTTGTCTCTTTTGATAGAATTTTTCAATATCTTTCTTCATAACAATTTCAAGATCACAATCAATATCCCTGTTTCCTTTTTCCATTCTCTTTTTTACATCTTAAGCATCTTCAATGTTATTAATGAATAAGATTTGATTAACATGTCTCTTTCTGATACATAGATAATAGTTTCCACATCTACCAACTTATGCTTTCATGTTTTTGAAAGCTTCTCTCTTTTCAATATTTAGGTTAAATTACTTTTGTAACAATGAAGCGTGTAAATTTGGATTATATTTAAATCCAGTTGAAGCAAGTTGAATAAGAAGTTTCTATGATGCTTTTGATTTTGGCAAAGATTTAAGGATAGGAGGGTATTCTCTATGACGGAATGGATTATTTAACTATAGTTGTTTCTTCTAATCATCTTATTGGGTTGTGAATTAGAATTATTCATCGATTTCTCGTTGATTTTGGGTATCAATTTATGATTGAGTTTGGTTATCCCCAATGTAGCCAGTTTCACCCTTGGATTTATTAGTTTAAGCTTCTATATCGTGAATATGTTCAGCATCTGATTCTTAAATAGGAGGAAGTTGTTAGGCATTATTGGTATTAATAACTGAATTTGTAGATTAATCTAATAGCTTAGTTTTATTATTATCTGAAAGTGAGTATTGTGGTAATAAGCTAAATAGATGTTATTGTGCAACTTTGTATTAAAACATTTTAACTTTAAGTTTTTCAACTCCCTCATTCATTTCCTGCTTCTTTTCTTAAACTGAAACAATCTTTTAGAGTTTCCAATTATTGTATCTGTAAGTCATAGCTAGTTTTTTGTAAGAACTAGCAAGTTTTAAGAGCTGTCTTAAATCCTCTCTAACAAATTGATCGAAAAGTGGTGAGTTATAGATTCTAGATTACATGAAGATAAAGAACAAATTAATTGACTTGAGAATAAGGAACATTAAACTTTATCCACCTTCAGCTAGACTAATAAATTAGTATTGACCATCAGAATAGAGCATTCCCATAAAAGTTATGTCCTAATTTACTTTATATACCTTATCAAAACCCAGTTATCTTTAGAAATAATCTCCTGAGTAGAATGGAGCCTGACATAAAATTTAAAGAGCAATATCAACAAAACTAAATATCATGAGGGGTCCAGTGATGTAAGCCTTATGTTTCCATTCAATGTTCATATCTTATGAATTTTTTTGTTTTGGATCAAGTGCTTATTAAAAGAAGTCTGTAATTTACAAGATGAGAGGAATACACATGATCATATAGCCGAAGGACATTAGGGATCTGCAAAGCATAGCTAGTAAGAAAGTCATTATTAGGGTAACTATTTAAAGTCCTATAAAAGAGAAGTACTTTGCCTTCTTATGAAATGTGTATATGAAAGTTGATCTCTTGAGCTCCGATAGATAATAAGTTGAACCGAGAAATTCCTCCATGCTATCATCAGCAGCTTTCGCTGAAAGATTTTCATAATCAATATCATAATCATCGTAATGATTTATTGAATTTTTCTTGTCTTATAGTACTATTGAAGTATCAATTAATTCTGATTAAATTTGCTTCTTTTTTGGATTTTTAAGAATATATTTTTTAATCTTTTAAATTTTAGAATATTCTCTTAAGCTATCTTCTAATACTCTTGTTTTACTAAAACTAACCTTAATGTTGTTAGCTGTTATAGGATTCCCAAAGTTGAAGAAATAAATTGTAAGAATCACCAAATTTGCGAAATCAAACCAGATGTCATTAACTTGTGCAGATTAAAGGTCAATACTGAAGAAATTAGTCCACTAGAGATTATTTCTGAGAAAATCTACCTTAAGGAACCATGGGAAGATAAATTATCCTTAAGGAAATTCTTTGCTTGGATATCCTTCATTATATGGAGATGGGAATGGCATTGGATTAACCAAGCTTGTAAAATTTGTTAGAGAAATTAAATACTCAAGAGCAAGAGTAGTTCCAAAAATATAAGAGAGGTAAAGCATACCTGTTGTCTTGTTTTTAATCAATAGGAACATCAAGAGAAGTCCAAGATAAAGAATACTAACAATATTACTTTTATTAGCGCAAGATAGCAGAAGTAATTAAAGACTCAACTGCTCCATCAGGAATTTCATACCAGATCTAACTTTCATACTGTACTTTCTTTAAATAGCAAGTACTAACTAGTCTTTAAGCCTTCTTTCTTCTACTTCTGAAGTATTTATGCGATACTGAGATTCTATCTTCTCACATGCTTACTTTGCTTCCATAATTGTAATAAATTTATCTGTAACAGGCGTCTATTGCTTATCAATTTCAGAATTCTAATCAATAGGATTCTTATCAATAGGCTTCTAATCAATAGGCTTCTAATCAATAGGCTCCTTCTATTTTGGTTCTATTGGGTCTCTGCTCTATTCAGTTAGTCCATCATCCTTTATAATTTAAAGTTTTTCTTCTAAAGTCTTGAATTGCTTTACCTTTTCTAAAGTGCAACCATATCTATTTAATAACCATCTTTAAGCTGATTTCTCAAAGATAAGTAAAATAAGCATCACATACAAAGGAGCATGGTTTCTAATATTATTAACATCCTCTGGTGAAATGTAGACACCTCCCCAAAATAACCAGAATATAGCATCATTTGTTAAAACTTATTAAGATGGAGTCATTTTTAACTTGAGATCTGTCAGAATTGGGGTAGGGTACATTATAATCATAGAAATGATTAGAAGCCAATACTGGAATGTCCATTACTCTTCTCTTACTGTGTGAAGTACCTTACTAGCATCCCTCATATAGCTTTTATTGGTTTAATGAGCCTAATTTATATCAATATCCTCAAATTTAGAAGATTCAGCCATCAATTTTTAATTATTATTAGAAATATTTGACTCTCTTTGTTAGGGACTATCTAATTTATCCTCTCTCTTTTAACTTGAATAGTATTTATTACCATTTTTGTGGAGTTCTTTAGCTGCTCTAATGCATAAAATCACATTACAGAGTAAGTAGAATGACATAAATAGAGAGATCTACCAATTTGTACATAAAATGAGTGTTACTGTGGCTGTGACTAAATGGAAGTTCATTGCAATTGAGTCCAAAATTCTCCATGAGGTTAGTCTTTGATAAATCATAAATGGAATTGTAAATCTAATAATTTCATAATCGTATTTAACTTTTTCAACTGGTGTTAAAAAGAGACTCTCTTTTGCTTATGTGTCTAATCGTTGCATTGCACTGCTCTTTAATTCATCAAATTTTATACTATTATCCTGTTTCTATTTTCCATCTTATTCTTATTCTTAATCATTTTCATTTGTTTTCTTAATAGCAGAAGCTGCTTTTTAAAGAAGTTATTAACTTACTTTTTTAGCATCTTCAATTTCTTTTAATTTTTCTCTAAAATAATCTTCTAGAATGCAAGCAGTAATGTAGAAAAGAATTTAGCTGACAAAAATTGCAAAGATACTTCTGGTTGAGTTTTAATAGTTTTCAAAACCTATAATAGTCATGTATTCATTTAGGTCTCCAAGGATGTAGTTGAGAATTTCATCAAAACCATATTAAGCGAGAAATGCCTTATCATTAATGAAATGATAAGCAATCTAGGCAATCAAAACAAAGCCTGAGTAGATCTTCAAGACCATACTTTATGTTGCACATCTTTTTAGAATGCCTTCTTCTTCATCTGAGGCACTAACAACTGCAGTTTAAAGAGTTAAACTAAAGATTAAAAATCCCCAGAACATAAGATTTGGTGGTTAAAGCACTAAAATGAAGCCTTAGGTGATAAGGATACTAATAATCATCATCTCTGAAAAGATTATTCTAAATCTAATGAGTAATCTAGCTGTTCCTGGGAACTTCTTTCTGAGGACGAAGTCACATTTGTCCTCATAGTGATCAGACATTGAATTATAGGTTTTATCTCCTGATCCGTCAACTGCATGAGCTTTAAAAGATTCTGGTTTGAAGAATCCATTCACATAAGAGATTAGAACCTAAAGAATGAATATAACCCATTGTCCAACTGGAATGCCATATTCAAGATACTCTGTTTTAGAATTATATTAAAATGAAAAAACTTACTTCCAAAATTACCAAGTTCTTCCTTTGGCTCATCATATTTCTAAAATGTTAGCATCATAAAAATCTTATAGATAAAACTTGTTTAATCAACAAAGCTTTTCTAAATCAAAGACCAGAAATATCTATAGTTTATATATGAGAGAAAAATAAAATTACTAGATCCAAATGAAGAATGCAGCATAAAAAACTAAGACTTATCCGCTCTTTCTGTAAGTTGCGAGACTCGATACATACATGACAAAGAAGTACATTAGACCAATGTAGTAAATGTTAAGTTCTCTCATTCCAAAGTAGAATATCAAGCAGAGTACAAAAATATGAAGACGCTTCATTACATAGAAGAGTAGTTGCCACAGGAATAATGAATGATAGTCAGTCAATTTTTCGAAGATACTCTTCTTTATCTCTTTATTTTAGAATCCTTGGTTTTACTCTGATGATGTCTCTCTCAGTAAAAATATAAGGCAGATAAGGTTAAGAGTGAGACCAGCTGTTTCAATTACTGGAAATTTAAAAGGCCTTCCAAAAGTATTATAGATATCTTGATTCAAGATAATCTATTTATCTCCATCATATGTTAGGAAGATACCTGGGATATTAATAAAGTATGTGTAGAAGAATCCAACAAAGAATGCTGGAAGGTAGAAATAAACTGTGCATTTGGAGAAAGGCTCAATTTCGAACATGAAGCTGAATAAAACCCAAGTAAGTAATATCATTGATGGGGCGCCGTGGTATGCATAACAGAAAACTACAGCTAGTATTCTGATTGCCCAAATGATCAAGACTCTCTCATAATTCTCTGTGAACTTTTTGTAGTCAAAGTTTTTGATGTGAGTAAAAGCATTGAATTTTTGAGGTTTAGGTGCCTCTTCATCTTAATCATCCTTTTTGTTATTGCTCTTTTTACTCTTTTCTACTTCTTTTTCCAGTTTTTCGTTCTTTTCTTAGTTAATGGGATCTTGATACCCCTCTTCATTATCTTAATAGTGCTAATAGTTAACTTCTGTTGATGAATAAAGTGAACCGAGGCCAATTATAATGCAGATTGTAAAGATATGAATCACAGCCTATGAAAGTATTAGAGAGATTTTTTAAAAATACGTAAAGTGGTGGATTCTCATTTAGAATGAGTCCAGATATAAACAACCCTTTTGCAAGGCCTGGTACAGTCAATATCCAATCAATCAAGTATTAGACTTGGCAAACAGCTAGCATTATTAGCTGGAATCTGAGAAGATTGACAACAAAAGAAACGGAAATCTATGTGAATCTTGCGCTGTTTTTTTAATCTATAGCCCATCGAATTGTAATGAACATCATAATAGCTAATAAAGTTATTATATTAAATATCTTACCTGATACGATCATTTGAATAATGGTATGAGAGAAGAAGGTGTCTGAGATTATAAAGAAGAAGAATATTTTGTAGATTAGTTCGTGTTGTTTTAAGAATTCTGAGTGATGAATGTGTACAAATTTGTAAGATAGTAAGTTTGGTTATAGTTGCCCATTATAGTAAGTGATTAATAGGATGCAAACGATGGAAGAGAAGATCTCAAATTCAAAAGTTGACCATTTATCAAATATCACTTTTCCATCCGTTTATTTGATTATTCCATAACCAAGTACTTTTAGATCATCCCTTATATCTTAGAATGTTTCAGTTAATGTAGGTTCAAGATACCCCATATAGAAATACTTGAAGATCATGAAGGAGATGAGTGCAGCCAAAGTTCCAATGCATATCTTCTTTTAGATGTTGGTGTAAATACCATTATCCCATTTAGAGAAGTAAAGCACTGAAAGCATCAATAACTAGTAGATGAAAGAAGAAAGATCGTCTTGATAAATTGAGAGTGCGAGACCTACTATTATCAGAAAAGTTTCATAGATGTTTGCAAAAAAAAGTTTGATTTTGTTCCACAAGGTAGGCTTCATGTACTTCTCTCTGTATTCGAATTCTTTTAGTACCTTAAGTGCTAAACTAGATCCTAACATATTAGTAAACCTCCTGCTTTTGGGTTAGGTCTAGCTTTTATTGAGTCCAATTTCGGACCTAGATGTAGGAATAAGAGATGTCCTTATGTCCTTATTATCTGGTAACATACAAAGATATTATTATAGAAAGTTTAATTTTATCACATATCTATCAATCACACAAATAGTGAACAGATTTATAATATTTCGACTAAAATTTATGAAACTAACAGTTGCAAACATTGAGATCAGAAGATAAGTAGAAATAAAACTTAACTAATGAAAAAAGAAAGATAATCCAAAGAGAGAAGAGATCATAACGTCTTGCATATTAAATCTTAATTATTAAGTATTAAACTACTGGTCTCATTTCATTCATACTTAATTTTCTTTTCATTAATCATGTTAATTATGTCTCAATCAGATTTCTATTCTTCTAAAAGCATTGCTTCTAGACCGTCTAAAGTAGGGTTTTCTCTCATAACGTATATTGGAATCTATCTTAGTATCAGATTAGGAAAAGATTAGGCGTCCATGTCTGCTTATTGCTGCTATTAGGATGAGTTTTCATTCATTTCCCCCAAAAAATGCTGCCAGAATATATCTTGCCTCTTCTCAATGTGACTACTAAGATAATTTGAGACTCCTCCACCAATAAATATTCCTCCCATTGGAAGAGTAGTGAGAGCTATTTTTCTTATGCAGATTGCTATTATTTCTATCATAAAGTCAATTGTCTTAGTACAAAGTGGGTCTAAGTCATTAAGTGCTGCATATGTAATGCATTCCTATTTATTGATTATTACCTTTTCTTTCTTATTGGTAGCTTTTGCTTATGCTTTTAGAGCCTTTTTTACAGCATCTTCAATAGTTGTATCAAGCTCTGGATGTTAAGTCTTCATAAATTAGTGCAATAGGAATATTCCTTGTCCTTTGCAAAGTTTTATTAAGGAACTTTTTGTTTTCATTTTGTTGAACATATACTTCCCAAGAGCCTATTGTCTCTCATCTAGCTCATTCACAGAGCAAAAACTCGCCCATCCCTCAGAGGAATTCACGAAACTCCTAGAAGGATTACCGTTTGGGTATGGGAGAACTATTGCAGTGCCTAATCCTGTTCCCATGCTGAATAAAAATTTCACTTTGGAATGTTAATTGGAGATTTCCAAAGTGTCCTAATGTTTTAGCTGAATAAATAGGCCTTAATTTTTCGATGAAAGATATTCCTAAGCGATTATACTTTAAGCCATACCCTCTGCATCGTTCAAAAATCTAACGTTTGTAGTTTCATAATGGTCTTAAATATGTTAAACCGATTCTCCTTTATCCCTGCCTACTCCGTAAAACTTTCCATTTTGATATCCTGCATGAGCAATCAATACCTGCTTCAATTATCTTTTGTTAACCTAAAATTATTAAATATCTAACACAGCAAAACTACATTTGAGGTCTGAAGCAACTCATCAATATGATGGCGGTAAGTTTTGTAGCTCGCCACTGGAAACTCAAGTTCTTATATACTCTCATAGTACTGAACTTTGTCTTGTACCAAAACTTCTCTTGACAACCTCAATCTAAAATTAGTGCCCCCAATATCACCAACAATAATATATTATTCCAAATGATCTTGCTATTTTAATTCTTCAACCTAATCCATTTATTTAATTTTATTATAATTCTTAATCACGGGGTTTTGGGGTTTTGGGGTTTTGGGGTTTTGGGG